CGACCGCCGCCGCATCGCCAACATTCCTTACATTCAACACGCTCGCCCTCAGAATGCAGCCCGCGAACCAGACATACCCACACAACTATTTTGCATAGTTCGATCCTCACTTGCACTCTTATCCGAACCGTTAACGTTTAAGCCCCAACAAATCGCGCTCCGTATCATTCCTACGTCCGTTCCAAATGATATCGAGTTAAATTAACAGCTCGTCCCACAACAAGTCCAAAACAAAAGTAAGGAAGCGACATTACGACAAATTAGCGCCTTGAAACGAAATTCCTTGAAGGGTCACACGGCCGTCGGTTCGAATCCAAGTAATTAGCTGGCGAGGCGGCGAGTGGCCGCGCGTCGCGAACTGTGCCAACTCCATTTGTAATTTAAGATATTTGACCGTTAATTGTGTTAGTAACTGTTACGTTTAGTGCTTGTTGCTTAGGTCGGAGCTGAGTGCGACCACGTTCCGAACTAACCTCTACAGCACTTGTTTAGATACTCATGTAACCTAGATGATAGTGTACCTGTATAGCGCTCAGCGGGCCCTCGCTGACTTAGCATTACGAGTGCTGTGTTTGGATGGGTCAGAAATTTTATTTGTTTGTTTTATTTACTCTAGATAGATTTTGTTTTATGGATGCCAATAGATTTTGACTATAAATGCGCTAGTCTAGCGAGCTCCATCGTCCATAAATTTTTATTGTAGAATTCCACTGAATTGGAGTGTGTCCGTGAGTCCATAATGGGCACTATTAGCATACTAATCTCTTCTAGTTAGTGTCGTATTGAGCGCACAAATCCTGCGCAATGTGCTCGCTGTACGCACAGTAAGTCCCTTCTCCCCTGCACGGAGCACGCTGCGTGCGTTAGCTGCCCGCTCTGATACGTAATAGCCTATAGTCCGTGTCTGCATTCACCAACGAGCCGATACACTCTCTAAACTGCTCCGGACTGGGGATAAGGGATTTACATACACACAATTTGTGTAAATACCTACCTAGTACCTACCCCTACTACCTACCTACGCACTGTGTGTGCGAACAAACAGTTTGTGATTACCAAGAGAACAGCAGTTCGTCAAAGGAGTGTGACGTCCTCTACATCTCTAGGGCGAGTAACTTTGATTTTGAACATTACAGTTTGATCACTATCGTTGAACTTTAGAATAGTGTAATCATGAGTGTAACATTTGGAAGATTTGAATTCAAGTAAAGACTGAAGTGTGGTAGACATTTCATAGTGTGTCGGAATTAAGAAGTAAATTAGCAGACTGTAGTCGAAGTGTTAATAGACTAGATTAGATTATAAGATTTAGACTAAACAGAGGCAATACCGCGTAGGCTCCGTAGAACATTCGTGTAACAAATGTTTTCTAAAATAGTCTAAAATCCCGATAGCCTAGTCTAGCTGAATTAAAAATTATTTCGGGCGATTTTTATTACTTATTGTATATTAGAGGAGCTTCAAATTAGTGTCGACTTACAAGGTTTCTGTGAAAAGAATAACAACTTTAAAGCTGGAAAATTAAATTGCTTTTTCTTTGTACAAAAGGTAGCAATGTAAGCGACTAGAATAGTAATTGGTGGTATAAGAAAATATTGTGATTGGTGGTGCAAACTTTCTTTAGATGTATTTATTGTTGTTTAGCTTTAAGACTTGTTCTAGAATAGTATTATTGTAATCTTGTCATTGTTGCCTTAGGCAGCAAGTATGTATAAAATAGTATCAAATTGAAGTGTTATTAACATTCTTAAGATAAATGCAAATAGAATAGAATTGAAATATTTTTAATCATAGAATAGAAAAAAAAATATTGTAATTTACTTAAGCTGTAGTTTACTTTTGTAGATGTAAACGGAACTAATCCGTACATACGTAGGTACATTTATAATTTGACTACATGGGTAGTAATTATAATTGAGGATTTTTAGTAATTCCGTAGACAGTGATGATTTGAAATTTTTCTAATTCATTTATTATCAGTGTGGTATAAAGATTCATATTACTCGAGTTTCTTTTCGCTTTTTTAATGTCGCTTTACTTGTTATCCGACTAATCCCATTCTATGGCTGAACCACGGAAGCTAGCGCTGGTTAGCATGACGCGTGACGGAGTGAGCACCTTATTGAATGGGGCAGGGATCCACTGCGAGACGTACTCTGGCAGGCTCCTGAGATTTAGTGAAAGGACACGCGGACGCGGCTCCTTCTTTGAATTACAAATGTGTTCGTGGCGCGTGCGTGCTGCCCGACAACACCCAGCATAGGAATTCGATTAATTTGCAATTGAGATACGTCCCAGCGGTTAAACGATCGAAAACCCGCAAAAGCGTATCATCTTCACGGTGAGTTATTGATGGCACCTATTAAATATACGTTTTGGGCGAGACGTGTGCGAGAACCCCCGGTAAACGCTCAAATAAAACATTTCAATCGCGCCAAGTGGGAAATGAAGTATTGCGATCAGTTAGGTGACGGATGAGAACTTCCTAGTTTAACTTACCCAAGTATTCACCCACACCCCGATATTTTAACTGAAATTTAACTTCTGAATAACTTATACACCGACACTCACTTTCAAATATCAAAAGCGACCGAACGTGAAGCGATTCTACATACACAAATAAACATCAAACATATTGCTACTGAAATCTGTGTGCCTTCATAAATACACCCATTACAGAACAAACGAAATATGGAAAAGCTTTAATATCCACAAAAGAATATTGATTCTAACTTTTCCATTTCTTTGTTATTACTTCCATGAGTAAAGCTAATAAAATACTTACCTGCTTCTACCTTAAAATTCGGAGCTGATTTTCGAAGTCGGCGACATTGTAGCACATAAAAACTCCCGCGTAATATAGTAGATCCAAGGGTGGGTGTTACGTCGCCTGTACGCTCCGTGAATATTTCGTTCGGCCGTCATCCCACTTCTGAAGAAGAATTATTAAGTTTGCCCGAACTTCGCAATTATGAAAGTTCGAATAGCTCTCACCAGACGGCCTCTGAATTTATAGATGAATGTGTGCCCCCCGCGCCCCGCACCCCGCAAGGTGAGACACATGCCGAAGTAGAGATAATTTAGATGAATCACTTTAAGGATATTAGCTAGAAAAAATAACTTCGAATTATATAGCAAACAAAGAGTATGCCAGCGGTTCCGAATACCGAGCTTGATAGCCGAAACTTCATGAACGAAGAAAACTCTGTAATTACACGTGCATCAACTTTTTGAACTTTAAACTTTGTTGTTCGTGTCTTCGTTTGTATCTCCCACGCTACGTTCAAAGCATCAAGAAACTTTAACTATTACACGCACAAATTACACGGCGAACATGCGTTAACATGTCTGTTCAAAGTATCTATTAGCTGGGAGCTACGTCCGACACAGATATGACCGCTGTAGATAACTCGTCTCGCGCCGTTCGCATGTAAACTGGATTGTTTAAGTCGTAAATTATTTGAGGTCAGGAACACGCTTCGCACCCAACTTAGTCGGGCCTGTTTGTGACTTTGTTTACTGTTAACCGACCCGTGGAGTATGATTCGAGTGATAAACAATGTTAAACAACAACAAAACCTCGATCCCACAGGTTAGGTGACAACTATCTTACTGCGCAACTTATTGATGATGTAGGAATACTTTATTATGAGTAGTATTTATATTTCTCAAATAACACCTATTTGTTATGATACTCCTTTAAATTAATGAGTATAAGAAGTCGATCGTGGAGCGCTTCGCTGTAATGGGAAAAGAATGAACTAAGACTGATCGACATATTAATGATCCCGAGACGTGTCTGCGCCAACACTCGAATTCTTATTTATTACACTTGGCCCTCAAATAAATAGCCTCTCACATCGCAAAGTAATGTTATTAAAATGTGTCAGCATTTTAGTAGGGCGGGCAAGAGCGGGCGCAAGCGCGATCGCGAGCGCGGGAGTGGGCACCCGCGCGCCATCTATCATTCATCCTCCATTACTTATATTGTACTTTTTTCGCAAAGTCACTCGCAGGCCGGTAATCACCTGGTGCGACCGCGGACCTCCATTTTTCACACTAAATCATAACTCGCGCATCTGACAAAAATAAAATTTGTCGTACAAGCCAATAGGGGTAAATGGTGACACTATGATTAAGCAAAAAATGTGGAACGAATATTAATCTAGTTATTGTTAAGATGTCGGGTTACGTTTATTATGAATCTACACACTAAGTTTCTTGAGTTTTTATCGAAATTGAATTTTGTAAGTGTGTTGACATGTTTTTGTAATGAGTAGGTACATACGTACTCGTAGATTTGCGATTGGAGGCAGAAGTTTATCTAACTCAGTTACTGTTCTCATCGTTATTTATTCTCCGATTTATGTCGGCTAAATAGGCGCGTGAGCGCTGCGTAGCGCCGGCGTTTCACAGCGGCCGAGCGCCAAGGGCCGCGCGCTGCGCGTCGCAAGTCGCAAGACTCTGCGACGTGCGCCGTATGCTAATGTCCTTCCCTATTCAATAAGCAGACCGCCGCGTGCCACCGAGAACTCACGTCGGATAATTTACTGGATATTTTGTAAAAGTTTTTTCGCCCTCTGTGATTTATGCCCGCGAAACTTCGAGCTCTCTTTTTCATTTGAATGCACGTGACATACGTGATATTTTTTTGTTCCGACATAATCTGAGCCCGGGGAGTCTTCTCTGTCCTCATTCGTCAGCTCCGCATCTGTCTCCAACGGTTAAATTATTCATGCATTTACGCGCTTCAACTTTATCCACGCTAGAAAACTTTAATATTGAGTTGGGATTACATCGATAGTCACTTTACCGTTCAATATGCTAAATTGAGGAAAGATGAGGTGTAGCCGCGACGAGAGAGCGCGGGGTAGGGAGTTTTTGAAATTCAAAAATTTCGATGGTTCAGTCATGAATGCGTGTGTGTGTGTGCTATCACTAACGAGTGTGCGCGTCACTCGTGTACGTGGAGCGGATGCGAACCGTGTGTATGTTTGCAGTTGACCTGACCAACGGCCAACTGACACCGAACAACAACACACCGCTGTTGGCGCAGGCGCTCTCAGGTGAGGACGCCGACATGCCATCACTACTGCACATCACTACACATTGAGGGTGTTCACTAACGTGGGGCTTCACCATAAACATTGCAATTCAATCTAGAAATAAGTGCAACTGATTCTCAGTTGGAACATTTCTTATACAAACAACGAGTGTTCATGGTAAGCCCCCCAGCCCATTAACATCATCCCTGACAGAACACACCTTGTATCATTCCACAGAACTCCACATCACAGTTCGGGAAACACAGTTGTATATATACTTGACACCAACATCATTCATTTCTCGCCGGTGACAAGTCATCATAACATTCTTACGAAAATAAGCGCTATGTTACTGCTTTGTGTACATGTAATTTACCCCTCTGTCCTTTCTATTTATAGTATCGGTAATTGGTGGTGCGACTCTAGTGACATCTTAATTTCATTGTTTCTCATTAAGATAATAGATGTTGTGTAATATTTAATGCATTGCATTTAGTGAAACAATAAAAGTCTAATCCGGCTCCGAGCTCTGGTATAACAGAGTTAAAATTACACCTTGGAATTGGAAAAGCATCGCTCAGTGATACGAAAAAGGCCAGTACGACTGGCACAATGTTTCGCATTTTCGCTGGCTGAATAAACACGTGGCTCACTGTCTATCTCGCTTCCGTCACCGAGCCAGTGAGCTTTGCCCAGCGCGAGCAAGCTAGACTTAAACGATTTTTAGTCTTAAAATCGCATATTCCGTATATCCAGATGGGAATTTAAAACTCAATCAAACTTTGTTAAAGGATATTTGATTAGGATTTGTACAATATTTCTAATTAAACTGTATGCTAATAATGTGGGTATTATTAATGAGCGGGTGGTTAAGAAAGGTCCAGACATTGATTGCCAGAAGCCTTTTAAGGTGAGCTTAGTCTAAAATGATGTTATATTCGCAGTGATGAACAATTACCAAGCAGCAGCCGCTGGATTTGGTCCACCCGCGTCGCCGCACGCTGCCGGAGGACGAGCTGGTTTCCCGGCCGCAAGTTCGCCGGGTCCGGCGCTTGACGTGTACGGCTCGGCCGCAGATAGCGTTGGCTACGTGCAAGCCGCAAGCCCGCAACCCTCTGGATTCCCGGCGATCGCCGTCAGCCGTGCGCCTCTCAATTACACCCCAGTAAGTCAAACTATACATTTACAATTTCAGGTCAACCATAGTGATCCTGATCTACTTATCTGATTCAAAGAGCTTCCCAGACTACGACGGCATAATCTTAAAGCAATTTGCAAATCGCAATATGAAATTATTAATACGCAAGCAAATTGAGTGTTCCTCCTGTTGAAATAATCCTTAGGCACCTGTTGCGAAACTCATGGCAAGTGAAATGGTATGTTCGTGACGGAGACTTTGCGAAACTTCGTTGTTGTATCTGAGGAAGGTTAAACAGAATTAATATTTGAAATGAGAATCGAAAAATGAAATTATACAGCAATCCTAGATGAACAAAGTATTTTATAGAAAGAATATAAGAAAAGTTTCTCATACTTATTTTATTTCATGATGAATGGGATAAAGTTAATAACTTTTGATTCTAACTTTTTTCATTTATTACGTCATGTTCAAAATGCCTTCAGTAACGCCCAAATGAAGGCAATTCCCAAAATTGTCCTTGTTCGAGAACTTTCAACTGTCACAGCATTCAAATTAATGTTTGTTCTGTTTTGTTTTTCTCCAGAATGTTTGATTCGCGTTCTCTGATGTTAAAATTCATTTTTGCATTATTCATGTTAGGAAAGAAAAATAACTGTGTGTTTACACGATCTTATTTCTCGGGAGCTGTAGTAAATTTGGTGTGTCTAGCCGGTGTAAGAATTTCATTAGCAGTTAGTCATCGCGGGATAAGGCACTAAGTGCGCGGCGGTGTCGGCGCGCCCCGCGACCCGCTCGGCGGCCGCGCGGAGCCGCGCCGACCCTCCAGACTCAGACGCAATTAGCAGCCGACGACACTCTAAAATTTTAGCGAGACGGTCCAATCTCATTATGGAACCGATCTTCCTTGTCGCTCTTAAAGCGTAATCACCATAAGTTAGCGAGCGAGTGAAGCGTGAGAGATGCGATTATAAAGTGTTCCAAAATATGAACGTGGCGGGGGGCGGGGGCGGCAATCTACGCGGTGCACTGCCGCGGGTAATGGCTTTTTAAAACTGCGACCGCGCTCCATAACTGCTTCCCTGAGACGCCATCAGTCTTCATTGCTTGTCGACGCCCGCCAGCTACCGCGCGCCCACCGCCGCCGAGATCTTAACTCCTCACGTCGTTGCTATCTTGAGACATTTTTCAAAGTGCACTCGAAAGCTGCTTTAATTTTTACACTATCACAACGCTGGCCTTTGCCAACTTATTACACGGTCATATGAACTTTCACTGGATCGTTCGAGCTCGGTTTTGTTTTAGGACAGTGACTAATTTGCAGTGGCCTTCGTTGATCAAATAATCGGGATACCGTCAATCTACAAGAGTGGCGATGTAATTAAATGTAGAACAGGTATTGGACACGAGCGAGCTAACTAATTGTTACCCGAGGCTTAATTTGAGTCATTCGCTCGCGGCGTTACACTGAGCTACCCTTCGGTTTCAGGCGCGTCATATATCAAACGGGATATTAACTCAATCGTCCGTAATCGCCGGGGCAAAACAAATACGTCGCTAATGAGAGAATGAACGGTCCAGCCGTCGGGCGGGCCGGACCGGCGGCGCATGTGGTTCCCGGGTGTAAAACGGTCTTATTAGGTAACGGGAATGCCCCCACGGGCAATAACCGTAAATCAAGGAGAACAAGCGGTGTAATTACCGTTGCCGAGCGGTCGCGCGCGTTGCTCTAACTCATCCACTCACTGTTTTTATTTTGTTGGCCACCGAGCCGCTACCACTCTATCGACTGCAAACACCAAACTTACTGCCTTTAAATCTGCCCCCGGAGAGGTTAATGTTCGCTTGAACGGTTTATACTTCCATTCAATTATAACCCCGACTGCATGCCAATAATTTTGAGCCGAACACTTGTGCTATCTAAAACTGACTCTTGTTTATTTTTCTCATTTCAGGGACCCCTGATTCCTGCGGCGTTTACCAACGGTTATCATTGAAAGTGTTATAGCACAAATATTTTACGTGAGTATTACAGTGTTTTAATGTGCTTTTATGCTCCACTCTATTAAAATGTCGTTACGCTGAATAAAAACGTCGGCGTGTGTTCATAGCGCCGCGAAAATGAATACTTGTATTGCAATTACACAAAATGGTTTTAAATTGTCTTTTTAGTCTTATAATCTTTCATCTGCGTATGGAATACAATTGGTCAATTACTAAAACAATAATGAGAGTTCAATTTGTGCTGAGTTTATATGTAGAATTGTTAGATGAATGGTGGGGGTAACAGAGTATGGAATGACGCAGGTGGCGAGCGGTGTGGCGGCGCCTAGCGTCCCGAGCACCCGGGCGCCGCGTGCGCCGCGCTGCAGGCCCCCGCCGCCCGCTGCCCGCCCGCGCACCTCCAGCCCCGCGCCACCGACGGAGCCCCGGACACCACCGGACTCTCCCCTGAACATCACTCCGTCAACCGCGGCGTCTCACCTTCCCCCTGTATCCCAACCTGTCCTCATCCTCACATCTCCTCACCCTCATACTCCCTCTCTCCACACACTCTCCCCCCACCGACTCGGTCTCGTGACCCCGTCTATTGTAAATAACGATAATCTACTTTTTGTCGTGTGAACGAGAGATAGTCTATCGATTGAACAGGTATTTTTTCAAATTTTTCTCGCTTTCGACTGTACCGTAGATGTGTTGTCAGAATAATAAACAATTAAACTCCAAAAAAAAAACATTTCATAATTATATAAAGTGCATCTAGACGATTTTATTGCAGGGAGGTATATCTTAAAATATTTTATGGTTCATAGTTGAATTACAGCGTAAGGTGTAAACGGTCCTCGACGCGCGGGACTTAGTAGTGGAAGGTGTTATTTCTTTGTGCATTGTATTCGTATCGTTGGGTGGGCTCAGCGCGCGACTGCGCCGGCGCAGGCGGGGCCCGCGCGTGCGCACGACGCCGCTGACAATAACGCGACCGCCGCGCGCCTCCCCGCTCGTCCACCTACACATATTTTATTCTATCTATTTTTAATATTAATGTCAAATATTAACATAATTATTATACTACTATAATTATATTACGCATATTTTACCTATGAATGTAATTATTTTCGCCTAATTCGAATTGTATAAAATCACCTCTTTGAACGGCTGTTCTGTTTCAGTAGCGATCAAGTTTCTCGATTACTTCCGTATAAGACTACGTTAGTTACGCGTATACATACTTTCTAATATTATGTATTATGATATAAAATTTTATCCTAAGGATAATATGATCATATTTACGATTCATAAGGACGTTTGGAAAGCTAAGTCGGTAACATTTCAGAATATCTCTCATCGCGTTAAGATAATTCGTTTCTATCTTATACCTTTGAACGTAGGTATTGTAATTATAATAATAACAATTTTGTGCATTACGTAATAAATATTTCATGGTTTCTTACATTGTATTTACCGTAATATAAGACCACTGTTGAAAAAACATACACGGCTCCACTTGCATTAACGAGTCACACCATATTTAGATGTATTGGACAATTTTAATCAACATAATAATAATAATCACTAACAATGACGTTTCATACATACAGTAACTTCACGACACAACATTTCAATAAAAATAAAGACAGGGATAAAAAATTACAGCCAAAGGCGCAGGTTTGAGGTAATAGATTAAAATATGAAGTCAATTCATTAATCATATTCGTTAGGTACTGGAGACAATTATCGACCACTTTGTCTAGGTTGCAGCAGTTAGGGAGCTAAGTGGGCTGCGCGCGTAGCAGTTGCCGTAGCGCAACGCTACGTCGTAGCGCCGTGCTACGACCGGCTGCTAGTCGCCCAAACCGCGCACACGTTCGCCGCTCGCTATAAACAACATGCACTCGGTTGCATTCATTCGTTATTTACTATTATTATTACTCATTACCTACATCAATTAAACATTAATATTATAAATCTAGGTATTAAATTTTAGGTAATAATAATAAACAATCTTTTAAAGCTATTATTATATAAATACGTTATAAATATAAATGTTTCCTGTTACAAAAAAAAAATATTGAAAATGATACGAAATAAATCAATATTCTTTTTAAAGGTAATTTATTACTTATGAGTATGTAGTTAATTGAATAATGGAGTGTTAGATGGAGTGCGTTCGTCGCCGAGCGGCGCGCTCGCTTCGCGTTTTATGTTCGTTCGTGCCGAATTCGTTCGCTGAGATGACGTCACGTGCGGCAGGCGCCCCTCCGAGGTCGCGCCGCGCCGCGCCACGCCGTACACACCGCAGGAGACGCGACCGCGATTATGTTGTTAAAAACGTTAGCTAGGAAATTGAAAATGAAATCGAAAGGTGTGAGTCTTTAGGACGGTCGGAATATCGATATCATACCTAACAAATTAACGTAATTATTTGTTTTATATTTACGGTGTTATAGGTATTTAAGACATTTTTTCTTAGAATATTTAATTATTACGATGAGATGTTATAATTGTTAGGCCCGGGCCGGCGGCGGAGTGGCGCGCGCGCACCTCACCGCCGTCGGCCGTCTCATTCACTCTCACATCCTCACTATAATTATATTTTCTTACCGACCTTTTTAATGTAGGAGAAGCGCACACGGCCGCTTGTCCCCGTGCGAGTACGAGTACAAACAAACATATAGTGAGAGACGTTCGTTTCGCCGCGTTCGTGAGAAGCCATCGGTTCGCCGCGATTGCATCGAGACGATGATACATGATGACAATTATTGTATATACATAGTTAGCCGCATGTGTAAAAAGACGTTTAGATAGACGCCGAAGTGTGGCGTGTAATGTATGCGACAGATGATGCACAAGCGCAGTGCTACCACCGCGCTGACCATCGAGCCGGTAGGTGTGTCGCCACCCTTATATTATACGTCGTTTTATACTTTCGTACGGAACATCTGACTGTATTCAATTAAAAGCTATACAATGCTTATGTGAATAATTTATGAAAATTATACGATAATTGACATGAAACAAACATCACAAATTACATAATGATCAAGGTTTAAAACACGTTATAATATAAGTTCGGTGGCACACCGAGTTACCATCTGGTCGATATTAGATTCATTCAGCAATCAGGTTTAGCTGGCGTTTATTAGTTTCATTATTATTGTTCTTAAGTTATAATGTTTGTGAGTTTCTTTAGTGTCATCTTTAGGGCTTCGGTCTACGGGTCATCTTGATGCCGGCTCTGTCATATCATATATGTATTTAATGTACAATGTTTTCATTATTTTCCTTCAATGTATTTAAATATTCTGTTGTTAATTTAAAGTCAATTAAGAGTTTAATTTAATGTTGTATGTTTGTTTAAGTTTACACTTATACTGAATATTTTGAATTATCTTTAGAATTATTTGGTAGCTAATATGGCCCGTAGTTCGGAAGCCAGTCGTTCTAAGTGCGGTCGTTTGTGGTCACCGCACGATCACTTGGCGGTCGCCACGCTGCCGCGCCGTCACCACAAACGCCGCGCGGTCCCTCTCGCTTGTTCGTATACGCGATAGTTGAGTTACTTCAGTCACCATTTAGACGTGTTCTATATCAGAATAAAGACTACGTAATAATAAGCGAGATCTCAAATTTATTTTAAAATTCTTTATGTGATCCTAATATTGCGACTTATCGTATCTATATGTATGTAATAAAATTAAAAAGATAATTTATTATATTTTGTATAACATTCTACGTTTATTTACACTCGATCTACTTTATATTAAAGATAATAATTAATTTTAATCTAATAATGACAGACTGGTAAAGTTCGTAGAGTCGCCGCGGCGGCCATAGATCAAGTAGCTTTGCATATTCGGCGATGGCCAACTAAGAGTTTCTTGGACCAAAGGTATACTAATTCGCGTAGAACCGGAGGCGCATTGGCTCCGCACGAACCCTTCCGACCCGAGCCGAGCGGCCGATCGGTCGCCAGCAGAGCACCGGGCCCGCGCGCCCGCGCCCGCGCACCCCGTCCCGCTCCCGGCCCCCACCCCCGCGCAATGCCGCCCGCTTGGTTTCGTTCTCGCGGTTACTTCTCGATTGCGTGCTTCGCGTGCTGACTGATTTTCTATAGCAATAAAAATCAATTACCTAAGATTTTACATTAAAATAAATTTGGATTTATATACGTTCGAATTTGGTGTCATGTACATTTAAAATATTAGAGAAAGGAGATAACGATAGGCGAACGATCCGCGACTGTCCCGTCGCGGCGTCGGCGCATTATTTTCGTCATTTCTTCGTGTATAATATGTTACATGAATCTGTATACAATATGGATATAAATCGTAATGATGAATAAAATTAGTTTTTACGGCATCTCTTTATTAAATAATGATAATATCAAAACGTTTTGTAAAAAGCGGTGGGTATGTCCGCCGCCCCGATTTCGTGCACCAATGCACTTTCTTATTGGAATATTACATTATATAACGTACATAATACTATGAGATATATAATCATACAGCCTTTCGGGGCGCGCGTGTATGGCGATGTATGTATACACATTGTGCAATGTACATATACCTTATATAATACAATGATTTAAGACAAGGTTCACATCGTGCCGTGTGTATGTGGTAATAAATATAATATGGACATTGTTCAAACAATAACCAGTTGTTTTATTTATTTAACCTAATCATCTAAACCCACCAAATCCCTACATGCATATTTTAATTAATTAATAATTAAATATTGTTCGCAATCATGAAATATTCAGCAAATATTAGCATTCATTGCATATTAATGTGATTAAAATGATATTCATGTTTATCGGTACCTATGTTAAAATTTTAATTTCATACAGAGTGAGTTCATATTAATGAAATTTGGTACTGTGAGTTTTAATAATCTCAAACTGAAACCCGATAATATTTACTATGGTAATAGAAATAAACAACATATTATTATTTTTAAATCATAAATACTATGAAGCTAAAAGCAAATATTTAAATTAAAAACAATATACTAAATATATTTCAAAAGTGTGAACCAAAGAAAAGGAGAGTTCCAGTGAAATTTGTTCCTGAAACTGAAGATGCTTCAGTGACTATGAAAGTGGCATCACTGAACAGCGATCGCTTCAGCCTGAAACTCCTGAAACTACAAAGTGTAACATTATGTACGAGGTTGGCCGACTTCATATTGAGTGGGAGGCTGTTTTCAGTTCGTAAGTATATAGGTAGGATTTCGTAAGTATCTCCAAGACCATAAAGAATTTAATGATCATAATACTTCTACTGAAACAAAAGTACTTAAAACGATCACATGAAAATCAGTGACCAGTTGAGATGCGGGTTCAAATCCCAGGAAAAGAGAATTCTAAGACTATGGGTTCAACTCCCAAGTATAAAATATAACTATCATTAGCAAATATTATAAAAAAATATCAATGTTAGAGATAAATAGATTTCAGACAATCTCATAGGGAATAAGGATTCTCAATATGTTATGACGATATAAATAGGTTCATAAATAGGTATAGGCAATACAAATTCTCGGTATGTTAGTCTAAACTGATTCTGAATACATAGGATAAACCTTGGTCTTGTCACATAATGTGCATACAATATGAACACGTT